CTCCGCTCTTTCCATTGAGACAAGCAGTAATGGAAATTTTCCCCTGGCTTTGTTTTTACTAAAATTAAGTAAAAGTAAATAATTTTCAGGGGAGGCTAGGGTTTATTATTTTAACCTGTGAATAACAGCCAACAGGTTATTGCCCCATAAGGCTAAAAACAGACCAGAAACGACTGTAATACCATCTGCTGGAGGTAATAAAACATGGGATTAAAATATCATTTATTACATGAACTTCCAAAGCAGTACAATTTTTCTCAGTGTTTAAAAATTTTTTTAACGTCCCATGTCAAAACATGTCCTAAGTAATTCACCCATTTGTTATTATGAAACCCTCTGAAACCTCAGCCACACCTCCTTTCTCTCCTCTACAAGCTGTTCTTTTTATTTTTAAATTGAAGTATAGTTGATTTATAATATTATATTAGTTTCAGGTGTACAACATAGTGATTTGGTATTTTTATAGATTATACTCCATTTAGTTATTATAAAATATTGGCTACATTCCCGATGCTGTACAATATATCCTTGTAGCTTCTTTATTTTCTCCTTAGTAGTTTGTACCTCTTAACCCCCTTCCCCTATCTTGCTCTATCTCCCACCCCTCCACCCACTGGTAACCACTAGTTTGTTCTCTATGTCTGTGAGTCTGCTTCCTTTTTGTAGAACAAACTCTTTAGCATAGCATACAAGGAAGGTCATTCGTAAGCTGGCCCCAACCTACCTCTCTGATTTTATTTTCTGCTACTTTCTGTTCATTTTTTTTAATACAAGAATAAAAACATGACCAACAATACCGTATAAAAACTTGCAGGATGGGACTTCCCTGGTGGCACAGTGGTTAAGAATCCACCTACCAATGCAGGGGACACAGGTTCGAGCCCAGTCCAGGAAGATCTCACATGCCACGGAGCAACTAATCCTGTGTGCCACAACTACTGAGCCTGTGCTCCACAACAAGAGAAGCCCGCACACTGCAATGAAGAGTAGCCCCCGTTCACTGCAACTAGAGAAAGCCCACGTGCAGCAACGAAGACCCGATGCAGCCAAAAATAAATAAATAAATTTTAAAAAACGTTTTAAAAAAAAAGCTTGCAGGAGGGCTTCCCTGGTGGCGCAGTGGTTGCGAGTCCGCCTGCCGATGCAGGGGACGCGGGTTCGTGCCCCGTTTCGGGAGGATCCCACATGCCGCGGAGCGGCTGGGCCCGTGAGCCATGGCCGCTGAGCCTGCGCGTCCGGAGCCTGTGCTCCGCAAATGGGAGAGGCCACGACAGTGAGAGGCCCGCATAACGCAAGAAAAAAGAAAAAAAAAAAAAAGCTTGCAGGAGATAAATATTGACACTCCAGGAAGTGGTTACTTCTGGAAAGGGGAGAGAATACTGGGGAGGGGAGCCCTAGGGATTTCAACTATATCTGAGATGACCTTTTTTTAAATGATGATGATAATATTAATGAAAATATTAAGTAAAACAAAGCTCTGAAACAAAGCTATGGCAAAACATTAAGATTTGACAAAGCTAAGTGGTGAGTAATAAGAATGCTTTTTCTACCATTCACAATACTTTTCTATTTGTTTAAAATAGGGGTTGAAAAACTACAGTCTGTGGGCCAAATCTGGCCCACTGCCCATTTTTTAAGACTTGGACCTAAGAATGGTTTTACATTATTAAAAGGTTGTTTAAACAAACAAACAAACAACAAAGAAGACTATGTGACAGAGAACTTGTGACCTGCAAAGCCTAAGATATTTACTATTTAGCCCTTTATAGAAAACGTTTGCCATCTCGATTTAAAATATTTCATAAGAAGAAAAGAAAAATTAAAAAAATGAAAAGGTAGGAGGCAAGGAAGAATGGTTTTGTTTTCTTGCATTAAGTACCTTCCTGAATTAAACATTTTATATTACCTGTTTCTTTAAATTAGCTTTTCATGAATTACTTTTTCAACTTTCATTAAGAAGAAATCTCAATATCTCAATAAAGAAATAAAAATTATAATGGTGATGGATAGTAATGAGACTTATTGTGGTGATTATTTCACAGTGTATACAAATATCAAGTTGTTATGTTGTACACCTGAAACTAATATAATGTTATATGTCAATTATACCTCAATTAAAAAAATTATGTACCTCTGGGGGGGAAAAAGAAGAAATTTCATCAAATTTTATTCTATGATATTGGAACTTATTTAAAAGACCTATGGGACAGTCTTTTAATATGATTTTGACTTCAGCCCATACTTGTCAAAAAACTAGGGAGCTCACTAGAGGCCAGTGTGTCATTTTCAGGTAGCTGTACGTAGATTGGAGACCCACTTATGAGCTGTCAATCAGGGACACAGGAGAGGTGCTGCACAGGACCTATTCTTGGCTTCAAGTTCACATTTTCTGCTTTCTGTAGCCCACCTCTCCTAGAAGAATTTTGTCTCCTTTTTTCACAGAAGATAATGGGGCAAGAGGGTTAAATAAAATTCAGAACACTATATTACAGTAAGAGTTTCTGGCTAGAGTGGTTGTGAGACATTCGAATGTCATCAGAGAAAGTAGACTTTTTTTTTAATGGGGAAATAGTGAGATAATACATCAAAATATCTTGGCATGGCTCAGATCACAAAAACTGTTAGATCTTCTGTTATTACCATTTTGAGGTTGCTATATAGGCATTTTCTTTTCTTTATAAAATATTAAGCACATCACTATTGCCTGTGTATATGAAAGGATTTTTTTCTTATTTTTATAATTAATTTCCATAGTTCCTCCCCCAGCACTGACCCACGTTAACTAAAGATATTACCATCTGTGAATCAATGAATGAGGAGGCTCACACACAGATTTCACAGCAATGCTCAGTGAACACTTGAGGTTCTTTAGACCTAAATTATTTAATAACCTTAAGTAGTTATTGTTTTAAACTTTAGTGTCACTATTAACTAAAAATGTGCACAGGAGAACAACAGCCACAAAACAAATACGAGGTAAAATTTATTCATCTGATCACAATATGCATTTTTTCCTGTTCCAATGAAAACATTAATGCTAAAATAATACGTAACTTGTTTTTTAACTTGGCCATATTTATGTCATCTCTAATATCCATTTGTTTTTTATATTTACTACATTAAAGATATACAACGTGGCATAAAATGACAAAATACTTACGATACATCATCAGATTATGAAATAGAACATTACTAATTTTACTGAGGCCCTGGGCACCCTTCCTCAGTTCCATCTCTCTTCCTTCCTCTAGGGATTAATCATTGCTCTGAATACTGTATTTGATGTATCCATGTATTAATTCATACTTTTTGGACAAATGTAAATATCTCTAAATAATTCATATCATTATTTTACAACTTGCTTTGGCTTCATGTCTCAATTCATACATGTTAGCATGTATGGTATATTCACATGGTAGAGACAGTGCTCACCAAATATTCTATGTGCTCCCCTATGATTCTTAGACTTCAGGTTGGAATCACTGGATTGTGAGCAGATGGGAAGTGTGTCATGTGCGGGACAAGGCAGTTAAAAGCTCCATCCCTTTCTTCGCCTTCCTCAGTGAACTCACAGGCCACATAGTCCAGATGGGGCAATGGGGCAGCTGTAGGAACATGGAGCATCTATCAGCCTGGGTCCCTGAGTGAGGTGGAGCAGAGCCTCTTACCAACTGCGTTCGACATGTAAAATGAACAAAAATAATCCTGTTGTGCTAAGACACACACACATACCTACAAATGGGCAGATAACTCCCTTTCTGGGATTATTCAAAAACAATGCTATCAGTAGCAGGGTAGATTCAAAGCCTTTTGGAAATACTTCTACCCTATGACTGTAGATGGATATTTATTCCCACTTGCATGATGAAGGAAATCTCACATCCTCTAGTCTTTACCTTCTTTGAAGACCTACTGCACTAACAAAACTTTCAGAGACATGCTTACATGTTCACATACTGTTTCTGGTATGTTAGCTTTGTTTCCCCAGCTAGATTTTAAGTTCTACACTGGCTTGCACTCTACACAGCATTCAGTATTAAGTGGCCTACTGGTTGACTGAGGCTAAGAACTAATATTAAATGCCTGCTTTGTGTAAGGCACCTTGCTTGTGCTTCACATAAGTTATCTTGATCGTTATTATTTCCATTATGTAGATGAGAATATTAAGGCTAAGTAACTTTCCTTTGGTCACAGAGCTAGGAAGATGATAAAGGATGTGGGGAAGGCAACTAAAACTAGTCTGACTGACTCTAAAGATTTCGCTCTTTGGCTTTCTCCACTGAACTTAGTGAGACCGTGCCTAGTGCAGGGCAGGAGCTTTAGTAGAACATAAAATGAGTAACAAAAAAAGTTTTTGTTTATAAATTTTGCAAACATTAGAACATTTCTTTGGAGACATCTCAGAACTGAAGATTGTCGGGTCTTACCTTGATCACCTCTGGGGTCTGCTGAATCAAAACCACTGAGGTAGTGTCATTGGCTTTATCACCAACAGGACTTCTACAGACTGATAAACTGGCCTGCGAGGAAGTTGTCAAGGTTTCTTGTAGAATTTGCATCATCTCTTTTTCTTGTGATAGGTTCCCTCTGCCTGATTTGCATTCAACCAGTTCTTGAGCAAAGTCTTCAATGCTTTCTAGAATTCTCAGTAAGAGGGCTCGATCCTCTTCCTCTATTTTGTGTCCATTGGTTTCAATAATCCTTGTTAGGCAGGAAGGTGAGACTTTTTCCGTGGGTGAAGAGACTTTAGATTTAGGCTCAAGATCTACAGGGAGGTGACCAGTCAACTGACTATGACTATTTAGAGAGACAGAGCTTTTACCTTTGGCAAGTGGCTCTCTTAGAGAGGTCTCCATTTTCTGTGAGAAAGATTCCAAATCCATTAACAATTTATCTATCTCTTCCTGACTGTTAGGATTAATGAAATCTCTGTGGTTTCCCTCTTCAACTTTAGGAACTTTTGATTTAAGATCTTCCTCAGGTAGATTAACAACTGGTTTCTCAAATATCTTACCAATTTCATTTTGCATTGAGGCAGGGCATTTTTTAAGATGAGTACCACGATCTGATAATTCTGCTCTATCTTCATTTACCTTTAACAGCTCCTCACTGGGTCCATTTTCTGTCCTCTGTCCTTTATCTAATGCTTTCTTTCCATCTGACTCTTCCTCAATATAAAGGGTTTCCACTAGATTACCAGAAGAAACATTTTCTACAGCGTTCATGGTTAATGACTGTGACTGAAGCTGGACATTTTTTAGAGGTCTGGGATCACTTATCTCTAAATTACACAAGGAATTTGTAGAGTTGTTTGGAATGGATTTTACAGTGTCTGTTTTCCTAGAACTGTGCTTGTCATCTTGCAGTTCTATAGTTTGAAAGTGTCCAGAGTCAGGGGCTGAGAGCTGGACAACATCCTCATACTTAGGGGGCTGTTCAGTGCCAAATACTGGGGAGAAGGGAGTCAGTTGTAAACTAGGCATATTACTGACCAGTTCTGTTAAATCTATAGCCTCATTATTCCCAGACTGCATGAATTCAAATGGTAGCTTTTTCAGATAGGATGCTAACCTGGTCATTACATTCATATAGACAGTTTCAGAGCTAGAAATTGCATCATTACCATTTCCTTCACTGATGCTACTCCCTGACTTTTTCTTTATACATTGTTTTATGATGTCTGTGCATTTTTTCAAATCCTCAGAGCATTTTAGCAAGATGTCTAAGCACATCTTTATGTCTGTTCCAGAAGAAAAATTATCTATTTTATGTTTTTCCAAAATCTGAGTAACCAGGTCTTCTTCAGAGAAGTTGTGAAGAAGCAATGAAGTCAGGCTCGTATCGAGTGAGTTTCTATGGGATAAAGATTTTTCCTCGACTGAGGAACTCCGGAGTAAACCAAAGGATGGGGAGTTCCCATCATGGTTATAATGGCCACAGAGCAAGTCAAAATCAATTGACCTCCTGTTAAATGAGTCAGACTTAACTTTCCTTCCCTTTCTGTAAGCTGCGTGGTTAGAGTTTTTGAGTTTTTCAAGGGAAAATTCTTTTATTTTCCCACTGGCAAAACTGATTGCTTCTCCTGCAATGTCCTTTAAGTTACAGGTGTTCTGAAATGTAGATCCTTTCCTGACCCTGGGTATGCCTGTGAGGGCCTGATGGGGATAGTCACCTTCAGCTGAGGAAAACCCATTTTCATGGGGTAGAAACAGAGAGTCCAGATCTGCATCTCTGAACTGAGACACAGGGATGTGTAAGAGGTCTGCACAAACACTATGATGGACCACAATGCAGTCAACTCCATGTGTGAAGGTGTGGCAGGTTCCAGTGCAATAATGTACAGCTTGCTCAAAACGCCGGTCTATCACCACACTGCTGTAGTGGTTCACAGTACTAACCACAAGTCTGTAAGTTGCTGCCATAATATCAAATCCACTTAGTGGTGGGGCATGGAATTTTCTAGAACTTGTTTCAAGTAAATTCTCCTAAATGACACTCAGCTGAAAATATATTTGATGACAATGTTCAGTGGTCTCTTGCAAATATAATGACCTTTCCCACAAAGGGAAATCATCGAAATTTGAGGTTTGGTAACTGTCAGGATACAGTAGCCATTGCACATGTGTGCTCTTATTAACAAGTCTAATAATTTAATAATTGTGCCTTCTAGTTTAATTTAGTAATATCATGATACTATAGGATTATTTTTAGGAATAAATTTTAAGAAGATTAAAGAATATTCTCTTTTAGTTCTTCAGCAGTTCTATGATGCAGACATTTATGGTCGTAAATTTACTGTCATGAATCTCAGTTGGTAGTATAGAAGTATTGTGATAACTGAGTCCTCCAAAGGTTTAAATGATCCATTTTTCTGTGAATGACAGGAAAACCTATAATGAAAAAAGAAAATAATTAAAAGGGAATATGATCTCTTAATACTGAGAGAACCTTTTATTTCCTCTCCCTTTGCATCCCATATGCAGTTAATCACCTCATTCTTTGCCACATCACTGAAAGCTTATCTTTGATTCATGCCTTTGCTTCATACACTCCTTACTAACCTAGAGTAGTAACACCTCAACTCTGCCTTGTTACAACTGCCTCTCAATTGTTATTTCTTATCCTACCCTCCTTGCTATCTTACATGACACTAACTAGCCTGGATTTAGAGAGCTTTCGCACCTCTCATAGTTCAATAATTCACATTACTGATCTCTATCATGCATCATGGCAGGCCTAGATCCTTTGACTCATTTTCAACACATTTAACATCTATTTGTCACCTAAAGCCTTATTTTCTGCTACTGACCTTCATCAACATTTTGCTTCCACCAACTTAGTTTTCTTTACTTTTTTTCCTTTTAATTTTTATTGGAGTATAGTTGCTTTACAATGTTGTGTTAGTTTCTACTGTACAGCAAGGTGAATCAGCTAGATGTATACATATATTCCCTCTTTTTTGGATTTCCTTCCCGTTTAGGTCACCACAGAGCACTGAGTAGAGTTCCCTGAGCTATATAGTAGGTTCTCATTAGTTATCTATTTTATACATAGTATCAATAGTGTATATATGTCAATCCCAATCTCCCAATTCATCCCACTCCCCTCCTTTCCCCCTTGGTATCCGTACATTGGTTCTCTATGTGTCTCTATTTCTGCTTTGCAAATAAGATCATTTATACCATTTTTCTAGATTCCACATATATGCGTTAATATACGATATCTGTGGGCTTCCCTGGTGGCACAGTGGTTGAGAGTCCGCCTGCCGATGCAGGGGACACGGGTTCGTGCCCCGGTCTGGGAAGATCCCACATGCCGCGGAGCGGCTGGGCCCGTGAGCCATGGTCACTGAGCCTGCGCGTCCGGAGCCTGTGCTCCGCAATGGGAGAGGCCACAACAGTGAGAGGCCCGCGCACCGCAAAAAAAAAAAAAAAAAAAAAAAAAAAAATATATACGATATTTGTTTTTCTCTTTCTGACTTACTCCACTCTGTAATGACAGTCTCTAGGTCCATCCAGGTCTCTACAAATAACTCAATTTTGTTCCTTTTTATGGCTGAGTAATATTCCATTATATACATTTACCACATCTTCTTTATCCATTCCTCTGCTGCTGGACATTTAGATTGCTTCCATGTCTTGGCTATTGTAAATAGTGCTGCAATAAACACTGGGGTGCATGTATCTTTTTGAATTATAGTTTTCTCTGGATATATGCCCAGGAGTGGGATTGTAGGATCATATGGTAGTTCTATTTTTAGTTTTTTAAGGAACCTCCATACTGTTCTCCATAGTGGCTATACCAATTTACATTCCCACCAACCATGCAAGTGGGTTCCCTTTTCTCCCCACCCTCTCCAGCATTTATTGTTTGTAGATTTTTTGATGATGGTCATTCTGACTGGTGTGAGGTGACACCTCATTGTAGTTCTGATTTGCATTTCTCTAATAATTAGTGATGTTGAGCATTTCATCTGTTTGTTGGCCAACTGTATGTCTTCTTTGGTGAAATGTCTATTTAGGTCTTGTACCCATTTTGTAATTGGGTTGTGTTTTTTTGATATTGAGCTGTATGAGCTGTTTCTATATTTTGGAGATTAATCCTTTGTCAGTTGCTTCATTTCCAAATATTTTCTCCCATTCTGAGGGTTGCTTTTCGTCTTATGGTTTCCTTTGCTGTGCAAAAGCTTTCAAGTTTCATTAGGTCCCATTTGTTTATTTTTGGTTTTATTTCCATTTCTCTAGGAGGTGGGTCAAAAAGGATCTTGCTGTGATTTATGTCAAAACGTGTTCTGCCTATGTTTTCCTCTAAGAGTTTTATAGTGTCTGGCCTTATGTTCAGGTCTTTGATCCATTTTGAGTTTATTAAAGATGGCCAACACATAGTGCTTGTTTTTCATTGTACAACTTCCTCTATACTTGGAAATTATTACACTACCATCATCTCTTTTCTTACTCTCTAAGAGAGAGAGAGAAAAACAACCTTTATTCCTGCTCTTGATCTCATCCTCTCAGACCCTGCTACATGCAGACCTCTCTCTTGTCATCAATGGATAGAATTTTTCTCTTACTTTAAAAAAAAAAGGCTTTTAAACCATGCTGTAAGTTGACGTCCAAAAAGGTTCAATCAACTTCTGCATAGTAGTTCTATCCATTATTGAAAGTGGGGCTATTGAAGTCTCCAAATATTATTGTTGAGTTTTCTATTGCTCCCTTAATTTGTTTTGCTTTCTGTATTTTGATACTCTGTTGTTAGATGCGTAAATGTTTCTAATTGTTATATCTGCCAGATGGAGGGACACAAACTATCATAAAATATGTATAACTTACTCACTTTGCTCTACAGCAGAGACTAACACAACATTGTAAATCAACTATACTCCAATAAAAAAATTAATTAAAAAAAGAAAAGAAAAAAATTAAAGAAACAAAACAGAAAGGTTCAATCAATGTTCCTACTTAATCAGTAAATACTGAGTGCCTACTATGTGCCAGGCACTTGCTAAGTGCTAGGGATACAGCAGTGAATAAAGTCCCTGTCCCTACTGAACTGACAATCTAGCTGGAAAAAGAAAAACAACACATAAGTAAACATGTAACTTAGATGGTGATATGTGCAATAGAGAAAAATGAAGTGGAGCAAGGGCTTAGAAAGGATGAGAGGGTACTGTGTTACAAAGGGCAGTCAGGGAAGACCTCACTGACATCTGAACAGAGATCTGAAAGAAGAGTGGGAGCAGGTTGAGGAGGTATTTTGGGCTAAAACATCTCGGGCAGAATAACCATAAGTAAAAAGGCTCTGAGGTGTGAGTATGCTTGACTTACTACAAGAATGACAAGGAGACTAACATGACCAGAGTAGAGAAAGCAAGGGGGGCAGTGTGGGAGACGAGGTCAGAAAGGAAAGGTAGGACACTAAACCATGCAGGGTCTGTAGACTATTATGATGAATTTGGCTTTACTCTGAGTGAGCTGGGATACAACTGATGTCTACTGAGCAGAGAAATGACATGATCAGATTTACATTTTTTTTTTTTAGTTAGTTATGTAACATCTTTATTGGAGTATAATTGCTTTACAATGTTGTGTTAGTTTCTGCTGTATAACAAAGGGAATCAGCTATATGTATACGTATATCCCCATATCCCCTCCCTCTTGCATCTCGCTCCCACCCTCCCTATTCCACCCGTCTATGTGGTCACAAAGCACTGAGCTGATCTCCCTGTGCTATGCAGCTGCTTCCCACTAGCTAATTATTTTACATTCTGTAGTGTATATATGTTGATGCCACTCTCTTACTTCGTCCCAGCTTACCCTTCCCCCTCCCTGTGTCCTCAAGTCCATTCTCTACATCTGTGTCTTTATTCCTGTCCTGCCCCTAGGTTCATCAGAACCATTTTGTTTTTTAGATTCCATATGTATGTGTTAGCATAAAGTATTTGTTTTTCTCTTTCTGACTTACTTCACTCTGTATGACAGACTCTAGGTCCATCCACCTCACTATAAATAACTCAATTTCGTTTCTTTTTATGGCTGAGTAATATTCCATTTTATATATGTGCCACATCATCTTTACCCATTCATCTGTCGATGGACACTTAGGTTGCCTCCATGTCCTGGCTATCGTAAATAGTGCTGCAGTGAACACTGTGGTACATGACTCTTTTTGAATTATGGTTTTCTCAGGGTATATGTGCAGTACTGGGATTGCTGGCAGACTTACATTTTAAATTGGTAATTTTGGCTTCTGTGTTCAGAGGAGATTGCAGAGGAGCAAGATAAGAAGAAACAAGTCAAAGGCTATAGCAATAAACCAGGCAAGAAGGCTGGGGGCTTCAATCAGGAGACGAACACTGGAGACATTTAAACTGTATGTATTTCAAAGGTAGAGCTGATATGATTTGTTGAATGATAGAATGCACAATAATACTCCTGCACCAAGAAAGGTGCAATAAGGCCACGATAGGAAGGAGATGATGACAGCAGAGAAGGAGAGCATGAGTTTAACTGTACCATCAATCGCATCCGCATTTTAATGCTAAGAACCTTTACCCATTTAATAATGAGAAACAGAACTTCTTTGTTTTCATTTTTATTTCTTCAATCCTAGAAAATTCTGTTTAATTTCCTTATTTGTTACATTTCTTCTTTGGTAAATTTTCTATTTATATCCTTTGTTTATTTAGGTATTAGAGACAGTGAAATCAGATACCATTTATACAATTAATTCAAGAAGAACCCTTTCTTTTGTTGAATTCTTATACTGTTTAGGGTATATTTCCTGGCTCTTTAGATTCAATGATTATTACTCTGTTTTTATGTCAAGCCTACACTATCATAATTACTGTCGTTTTATTAAGTTCTACTACCTGGCTTTTTTCCCTCATATTTCTAATTATGATTCGTTTTTACGCTTCAAATATTCTTTGATGGTCTTCCAGATGAGTTTCTGCATTGTCAAGTTTTAAGAAAAATCCTATAGGAATTTGATTATAATTGTAATAAACTTATGAATTATTTTGAAGGAACACTGACATCATTATAATATTGATTTTCCTTCCACAAATATATAAATCTTAATTCCAATATTCCTTTCTTTTTCTTTTTTTGTGGCTTTCTTCAGGTGAGTCACCCCTGTTCTTTATTTTTCCTTCAGTGTCTCAGCTTTGTTGCTATGTGAATGGATCTTGAGCTGTTGTTTCATCCTCTACTGCCTTGTCTTCAAATCCCAGATGGTGGCTCATATAAAACTATAAAGCTAAGTATCCTGCAGGGTGGATGAAGCTCAAGTATAAAGTTCCATAGTAAAGTTCCACAATAAAGTGAGTACCCATTAATTTTTAAGTGAAAATACAAAGGTGCCAAAAAGGAATAAGTGTTATGGGACAAAAGA